TTCCCACTTCCTTTTAAAAAATGAAGTAGCAACACACAAAATATTCCTACAAACTTTCTAAAAGATACATAGAAGTTTTATATGTGAAAATTCACACTGAGTAAAACTTCATAAGAAAGGATGAACTGGGCTAATAATGTGTTATAAAGTTATCTTGGACCTTTTCTCAGTAAACAAAGCTCAATGGAAAAAAATCCCTCATCGGGAAATTTTCCAGATATAAAGTTTCCAACCATCCCAACACCATACGTCTCCCAAGTAGTCACTACTTCTATGAAAAGTTTCCTTCACATACTGTGGGCTGATGACGTCATGCACATAAATTTAAACACACAGGAACACACATTTCATTAAAGTAACTAGCATGTGATCATGAGAAACTTATAATGTTTGGGTAAGTTTATTTGGCATACATTTATAAGTAAAACATAGAGGCCAGATTAAGCTATTGAAGCGTCTCCTTGGATTGTTCTGAAAAAAATATTTTCAGTAATGATGGGAATATTTGTAGTTTTATTATACTGGTGGCTGCTACTGAAATTTCCCTCTTTTTCTCTCAAGTTCTCCCTCCTTACTCTCATCCCTCAGGCCGCACTTCACAAGTGCTTTTGGAAGTAGACAGTATTTTCCAGTCCATTACTTAAAAATCTCTCACATTGTCAACTGTTTGACATTCTTATTACTAGTAGCAATAATTAAAAACCCTTATTATCTTGGATTCACATAACTTTAGAGCTGTGTATGCTTTTCATCAATCCACCTGGCACACTGCCACCAAATCCTACTGTTCCCTCAGCCCAGCTCCAAGTCTGTTTATATCTCTCTATCTCTCTATCTCTCTCTCTCTCTCTCTCTCTCTCTCTCTCGGGATAGAAGTTTAACAAAGGGCTGCTGACCACATTCTTTTATGACTTCACACCATCACGATGAGGAAGGATGGGTCAAGTATAACAGGGAGTCAAAATATATTTTGAGAATCCGAGAAAATGATAGTGTTAACAAAACTACAAGACTGGCT